ACCCGATTAAAATTTACAGACCGGCCTCTCGGACTTTAACAAAAGGTGAATTTCTGTCGACCTAGTTGGCCTGTTAAAAGTTGGGTATGGTCTACTTTAAGTACGTATGTGCTGCAAGAGGTCGTGATTCAACTAGTGGTCCAGAGAAGGCGGTGGTTCAACCAAAGTCGAGAGGATCGACTTTATTGCACCAGATTTTATCGCACATGGCAAAGTCTCGCTCCTCACAAGGGCTAACCGCCTGCCGAGAGAGTCGCAAAGTATCAAATTCAGTAGCTCCAGCAACGATCCCAGGGTAATTCCATTAAACAAAAATTACACGCGAAGTGAATAACACGTCCTTGAAAAAACGTCTGACTCGAGCTATTAAAAGCTTTAGTCGGACGTGCTTGAAACGAACCAATTACCTTCGATGCGCGAGGAGCCTTTGCACTTTGCCACGGAGCCTTCAAGTGTTACAATACTTGACTGAACTATATTCGAGCTGGTGTAAATCTGATCACAGAAGCACTTGATGCATCATTATCATAATTTTTTTGTGCCGTTATACGTCACATAGGGATCGAAGTCTGTTCTTCAAAAATTTTATATTCTGTGCAATGTTTTCTACACTGTTAATTGAATCTGGTCCAACACCTTTGGCCTCTCTCATTAACGTTCGTTTTAAGGTTTCTTTGCACTATTAGATACAGCAAAATAGTTAAGCCAAGCAATAAATTGTGCAAACTGATTTTTGTAACTTCTTTGTTTAGTGAACAATATTTATTAGATTATTGTGTATCGTCCACCACTCTGTCCAAATTATTTATTAATTAAATTAACGACTTCGAAAAAATAAAGACAATTATGAAATGCTAGATTGTTGAATGCGTTTATTGTAATGCAGAATGATGTATGTTTTAAAGTACGTTTTAAAGTACGTATACAAGGGTAGGAGTTCATAGCTATGTGGCTATGGTTAATAGGGCGTTCGTTATTTAGGTGAGGGGAGGGGGCACATTGGAATCATCGCACTTAATCAGGTTGTTATTCGGGCTGTTCTTGTAACGGCTTGAGCTTTCAAATAATTAGTTTTATCAAGAGCAGGAGGCTTTCAATTGTACTGCATCTTAATGGCCAGGTATCACGACACCGAGTCGGTTATCTGACATCAGTAGTTAAATTAATGTTTTGAAGCTCAGAAACATAGGACTGACTGACTGACTGACGTTCAAAACCCACCATGAAATCATACCAAGCTACATACCAACCGGTGATACAAAGTGCCACAATTTGGGTGAGAATCACTCGGTGACAGATCCCAGAAACCCCGTTCAACCCATAGGTTGGGTTATATTAGGGTCCCCGGCAACAGCCAGGGTGGGGTTTAAGATTACTATTTTAAAAAAATTGCATTCGACTTTGGGACGAAGTAATTGTGTAAAAACATAGGTCATCCTTGCTTTGCTTTGCCTCCATTAATCTTATCCGCATTTTGAAAATGCGGACACAAATTGCACATATAACAGCCACTATATATAGATTCTTTTTCACTCTGGTAACAAAAAAAAAATGTTTTCTGTCCGGCAGGGATCATGTTTAGTTTAACTTTATATAATATATTTGTATATTTATTTATTTATTTATTTATTTACATGTTAATTCCCCTTACCCACTCTTCGTGTATGTGTCATTTCGTTAAAACTATCACTGTGCATGTTTTCTCCTAACGAGTATTTCCGGCTTTGTTTAGGCTTGTGATTAATTAATTTAAGCATAATCATGAAAAACAAACTGAATTTTGTGACTAGAAAACCATCACCAGCATACCAATAGAAACTCGGAATCAAATACAACTATTTAAAAGATTACACAGAATATTGGTTTTTTTTTAGTGAAAACCCTGCTAGAGTGCTGCTTGCCGTTCTGTCGATTTGTTAAGTTGAGACTGAGTGACTGACCTTTTACCCCACCAGGACATCACACAGAGCAATAAACACCCGGTGACACAAAGTGCCACAATTCTGATGACCTTGGAGAGGTCCCAGAAATCCCGTTCTACCATTAGGTTAGATTAGGGCCTGAGGCAACAGCCAGGGTGGAGCTTTAAAATAACGAAAAATTCGTTCAACATGGGCACGGAGAATAAGTAAGCTTAAGATGAGAACTCAATATATATATATATATATATATATATATATATATATATATATATATATATATATATATATATATATATCGCAGCCAAATATTAATTACTTTTAGTAATTCGTGTCAAACAGTAAAAACTATTGCAACTGTGTGGGATAGAATGGGTTAAAGGCTATTCTAGAGGTCGTTATTAAAAACCTAATTTATTATCTTGCATTCTAAGAGCTAATGGAATAATATTATTATTTTATGTAATTTATTCTCTCTTTTCATTCACCAGCTGCCAGGTATTCCTATCAGCCCACTAAGTCCAGATTTCTTCCAATCTGTAGACCCACTGATGCCTGAAAATGAGGAAACGTATGCGAAATATCGAGAAACTTCTGGCCGATTCTTCCTTCGACCTGGAGATTACCTGCTCGTGCCTTCCACACATGAACCAGACAAAACTCGCGACTATCTCCTGCGACTGTTCTCTGTTGGCAAGATTGACTGCATGTGCGTATATTTGTTGTTTTAGTATCCAGAAGCCATGAGTTGTTAACCCTTAGGCTCGGTATTATGGATATCGCAACCTTTCGGCCTTGATTCCATTGTAAATACCGTAAATCTGGGAGAAAATGTGGCTTTCCTGCCTACCCCCGGGATTGAACCCGGACCACAAGGAGTACGTCACCTGGTCTCCGCGAAATCCGGTTTTAGCCAATTCCGCTAGAGAGCCGGGCAATATTTAAATGAGTTATGGTGTGATATTAGTTAGGACGCTTGCCGGATAGGACAGGGTAAATAAGTAAGTAAAGATCCCTTGTCATGCCTTTAGGCGTATCGGGTATATGGGAACAGCGCCAATATTTTTACAGACCATCACTAGGTGAGTAATGCTTTAAGCATTACGCCGGCCGTCTTTACTTCCCAAGGGCAGCCATCCTGGTACCCATTTTAGGCTGGGTTTACCTGGGGGATAGGACAGGTACATTGTTTAAATATGAAGCACAGTCAACATTATTCTTTGCTGCCAGCACCTCCCTGGGGTTGACCCTGCCTCTGAATTTTCTTGGAGTAGCCAGTCATGTTTACGTCCTTGTACCAGACACAGTTTTCAGTGTTCTGACTAACGTGTCTTATGCTGGGAATCTGCGTCTTCTATCTACGCTTTTTATCAAGTGTGATATTGACTCCAATGTTAATGTTTCGAATCCTCAATAAGGTAATCATCATCATGTGCCCCGGAAACTGGCGTAGGCGCTCATGCATCTCGACAGATCACGATCCCTGGTTGCCTGGAACAGCTATCTTGATGATATCCCTCCATGCCATCGTTTCAGCTCATTCAGCATTATCTCTCTTGGTCTGCCTCTACCCCTCTTTCCACTGATCTTTCCAGTTGTCACGTTGTTTTTCAATGCGCCTCTTCTCAATACGTTTCCAAAGAAGAATGTTTGTCCCCATCTTATTATTGTAAATAAAGATCTACTTTCATTTGCTTCGTTAAAACAATCGTTGTTAGTTACTCTGGTTGTCCAAGATATTTGTAACATTTGTATTAGAAATCACATCGCTGTTGCTTCCGAATTCTTCTTAATCTGTTTACTGACATTCCAGGATTCACTGCCATACAGCAGAACAGGTTCTATGTAACATGTTAGCACCCTCTTTCTGACATTAAATGAGAGCGATGAGGCAGCGACAGGCAGCTATAAGGTAGTCAAACAGTTTCAGTCCGAGGCAAAACTAAGATCGTATCCTGCACAGTCCGTGGTGACTGCACTAGGCATCCGTGCCTAAATTCTCAGGTTACCCATGAATCCTACAACTTGAAAAAATGATGAAAACAGGCAGAGAAGAGACTTCAGTTGTTGTTTTTTAACACACTTTATTTTGTTTGCTTTCAGATGCGTGGGCAACGTCTATTCTTCCAATTTTTGAGTGCATGGTTTCCGCGAGATTGGCTGCCTTTGTTGACTCCGACTTCAAAGCTATCACTAAAACTGAGAAATGGACTTATGTACACAGAGAGAATAATCAATTCTCAAATATCTAACGGAATTTTTAACCGACTACCCTCACATGTGTAGTCGTGTACATGTAAACAACAGTCCTTACAGAAGAGTGGACATAGAGTCATCTGCTAAATAATGCATTTTGATACAGCTATTCCTGTCATGAGGTGGCGCCCGTGACTTAGGCGTTGCTAGTCCGACTTGTAATTCCAGCGTACCGCGATCGAAACCCACTGCTAGCTGTGTGGATTTGTATCATAGTATGGGGCGTTGCAGGTTTACCCAGCCTAAAATTGGCACCAGCAAGAATGTCCTGGGAAAGTAAAGACGGCCGGTTTAATGTTGACCAAATTACCCCACCTAATGCCGATTGGTCTGTAACAAATGTGGGTGCTTTTTCCATTTACTCTAAAGGCGTGAAGAGGGATTTTACTTAACTTTTTATTTACTTATTCCCGTCAAGCATATGGTGGGGGGGGGGGATTGGGGGGGGGGGGTTACTAATGGCTTTTGGATTAAGGGGAAGTCACCGTGGCCGAACGGCTAGACGCTCGTCGCGGATCGGAAGGTCGTGGGTTGGCTCCCTGGCGGAGCCGGACTTTTTTCAAAAATGACCTTGGCTCCAAGGTCGACCCAGCCTTGAGTGGGTACCGGGTGCAGTCCCGGGATGCTGACCACATCACCCATCTTGTGCCGATTGGAACATAAAAATATAGGTCTAGCCCTATATGCCCTATACGCTTGAAGGCGTGGAAAAGGGTCCTTAACTGGAACTTTTACTTTTTTTGGGATCAAGGGGACACAAGCATGCAAAGCTTCCCACACAACTGGGTGTTTTCATTAAAGGATCTATGTCCAGGGGTGTATGGTCCACATATACGCTACTCTATATATTTTATTTATTACATTGGTCATATGAGCAATATCCCGCCAGCCGCCTTTACTTTCTAAATCATTCTCTGTATTGATTTTAGACTTAGTAGATCTAAAAGCCAAAGTTACACACACACACACACACACACAATATATATATATATATATATATATATATATATATATATTATATATATATATATATATATATATATATATATATATATAATATAGTTTCGTGTGGCAGTGTTATAAAAAGCCAGTGAATCGTGACGGTAATGTTTTCCTAGGATGACCTCAACAAGGGTGAATCAATGGGAATGTCGACAAACAAGTCAGCTAGTCACCTTGGTGCCACTGCTTGATACTACCATGGATAGTTCAGTTCAACTGGCGAGACGACTGGACTTGTTTAGTTCTGTGTCATTTTTAAAAAAAAAATGTGAATTTCATTTTAATTAGATAATACTGAAGGATCATTGTTTACGCCAGCATCGAGCATTTGATGCTATATTCATACAAGTTTATATATTAGTGGTACTCGATGGATGATGTGATTAACATCATGCCGGCCTCCTTTACTTTCCAGAACATTAACTGATAGCCATTTAAGGTTGTGTTGACCTGTGAGACGTTATCAAAGTAAGAAGAAGGAGATGGCTTCGATAGGTTTGCAGAATGCTTCGTCACAATTTGGCAACGGCCTTCTCCAGTGGGCGGAGCCTGGGAGAACGGAGACGTGGGCGACATAAGAAACCTGAAAAGGGACGTTAGAAAAGGGAATCACGGAGTTTAAACTCACATGGGACGCCATGGGCAGAAAAGGCAGTAGACCAGCAGCAATAGAGATTATGTGTGAATGTCATAGGGTCAACAAACACATAAAGAGAGGGTTCATTTCGTTTCGCGGCCAAGGCTGAGAGTACCTTCCCTTGACATTCATGACTAGTCAGGTCGCAGTACCTCTCCGTTATTGCAGGGTGTTAATGAGATGGCTTGATTTGGCGTTAGCTCGTCGTATAAAATGTTTGTGGGAGGTTGTGTTGTCGTGAGTACATTGCAGGCGCCGCATGCGCCCGTGTAGAAGTGAGAAATACTGCAAAACGTTTCTTGATTTTAAAAACTGGGATGTTTTTGTATTTCCACGTTCGCTGGTGGCGGCCCCTACCCGAGAGAAAGAAAGCATTTACAAGGAACGTAGGTTTATAAAAAAAATATCGCTGTTTCCATACTCCCTAACCGTCGCACAGGTAGCAGAAAGTTAAAATAATCACACAAGCGAGCGGTGAGAAGACAAGAAAAGAGGCAACGATTAACCCGTTGGCAATAGGGAAAACATGACACCCCAACAACATTGGACCTGATGAGGCATGAATGGCAAGGTAAGTCACACTCATCATGGGCCAGCAAAAAAAAATGAAAGGAAGAGAGTATGGACAAATACACTCTAGTTCCTATATTTAAAAAAGTGCAGCACAACAACTGCGACAAAACATGTCACGTGATTTTTCTATTGGGAGTGGAAGACTCCCAAATAGTGCAATCTTCAAGCATGCCGCCGTGGGTCCCGCGATTGGAAGCGCTCCCTGACTAAACTGTGTATATGTTTAACATTATCGACCATTTACATTTAATTTTGTGAGTGGTTGTCGTAGAGGCCCCAGCACGCTGGTTTGCCCAGGCGCCCAAAGTGCCCCGATTCTGCTCCAAAAGTATAGTGTTCATTTTTTTCATTAAAAAAATAGGTGATCACTGGATGGGAAATTGTCTCGTGTAGAATAGGTAAACGTTTTATGTAATGTTCATTACCCGTAAACAACCGGTGCGTGTAATTATTGGGTACGTAATGAGGAGATATAGACATGAAAACTTGGCAACACCTGTAAAACTTGATTTGGGCGGGAGAATTTTTTAAGAGGAGACAAAAAGATCAGTATTGTGATAGTTCAGCCAAAGAGCATAATTAGAACAAAAATTATCGCCATCTTTTTCTTGCATTTTACGTTACTGAGGGCGTCATCCTGACCCGAAATAGACTGCAAGTTACACCGGACTGGTGTAACCGCTACTAGTGCCCTATGTTTAATGAGAGGTTAAGCGGGATATTTGGGATCTGCTCTGTTGGCCTGCCATCCAGATTAAGATTGTTTTTTCTCTTACGGTGGTAAGGCTTCCGGTAGCATCCTGAATGGGACAAACCGAGGAATAGATCAATCAAATATCGTGTTTTTAGTCTATTCATTTATTGCATTATATCCTGTGCAACTGTTTCAATTTTGTGGATATAATCAAGGGCTCTTTTCATCTTTTTCACCTCAACTCGTCAGCTGCGAGATTTTGAAGGGAATTCCAAGTGAGTTCCCTGGAACGTCCTATAGTATGAGGTGGGGGTGGGGGGGTGTTCGGGTTAGTGTTGGTATTCATTTAACAGTAACCCTACAATACCCTACATATGTCATGTGTTGGTTGTTAACAGCGTGTTCATCGTTTATTGCGTCATCATTTCCAATGTGTGTTACTTTCGTTCGTTCGTTGCCACCACTTTGTCTTTTTTGCAAGCGGTGTTCTTACTTCGTAACTTTGATAATGCAATGAATTTCCTTCACTAGTCAGCATACCTGCATC